AACCACATCCTGGGCCCAGATGCCGCCTCCCCAAGTCCCAGCAGCCTCAGACGCCAGTCCAAGATGGGCGATGCCCAGAGTGTGGGACCAGGGGCAGAGGGTGGAGGCCCAGCATCAAAGCCACAGAGCACGGTGAAGGGCACGTTGTTTGCCCTTTCTGGGACTCTCGCTCATACTCTCCGTCCCTCTCTCCTCCCCGAAAGCTGCCCCGGGTCTATTGGGTGGAAATCTCCAGGGGTGGGGTATCCTGAGAGACCACAGCAGCTGCAACCCCAGGCCAAGGTAGGCCTCACTCCCCCGACCAGGCCTAGCGGTGGAGCCAGGTGTTCGCAGGCTGGCTGCGCCAGTGGCCCCTGGCTGAGGGGCGGGACGAGGTGGGGAGGCTGCAGTCCCATCTCCAGTCTCCACACCAGGATCACTTCTGTGCCAAAGGGCTCCCTGCTCGGCGGCAGGTCGGTGACTCAGCTCTGCCCTGGTCACATGGTCAGGCAGGCCTGGGAGAGGGGCAGGTGAGGTGGGCAGGGCACGCTGGGCTCCCCATGGGTCTAACAGCCTGGGCATGCCAAGGCCAAGCTGAGTCCAGTCAGTGCCCCGGAGCCCAAGAACAGCCCAGCCTGAACCCACTGGCCACTGTCTGGTCCAGCTTTCTGTGTGGCCTTGGTGTCCCAGCTGTAGATGGCACAGCTCCAACCCTGGGACCCCGGGAGACCCGTGAATGGCCTGTCGACACGCTTACACACACGGTGCAGGGGCTGGACACACCTGCCGGGAAGACACTGTCATGATGGTGGGAGATGCAGACAAGTGGGGAGGGTCCCAGGCTGGAACTCCAGGGCTGGGGACCCCAGAGCAGTCAGTGTTCTTCTTCATCTCCCTGCCCCCAGCCCCTCCTGGTCCCAGAGGAAGCTCAACCAAGGCCTGTCCTGTCTATGCAGAACTGAACTAACCAGAGACATGCTTTCCCCTCCAATCTGGAACAGAGGGGTAGCTCTAGGGTGCTCAGCAGCTCCCCATAGGAGCCGGCTCCTTCCCGAGCACATCAAACAGCAGCACCAGGCAGGACTTGCGCCCAGCCCTGCCCACAGCACCGGAGTCCTCGGGCGCGTGGTGCCGATGACGGTGCCCATTGACCCACAAACCACAGGGTGATGGGGAGGCGCGACAGGGTGGGGGCAGGTGTAGGGGGATGGGCTTCGCTTGGGACTTGGTTGGGCCTGCCCAGGCCCGATAGGGGCGTGGGCAGGGACCCGGGGGCCAGAGGAGGGACCGTCCAGAAGGCCATCACAGGGGTGGGGCAGGGAGGGTTGGCGAGGGCCGGCAGAGCCGCACCGGGGCTTTCCCAGGCTGGCCCAGGGTCACACGCACATGACGCGGACATGACCTTTTCTGAGCACCAGAACTTGCCTGGGGTACAAGAAGGAGTGAGGCCAGTGGAGCCCGAGGGGTGGTTCCAGGCGGAGCCCAAAACATCCTCCTGCCTGAGCTCCAGCTGGATGTTAAACCTGGGAATCGCAGGGCTCTGGGGCTCACAGGTTCCTGGAGACCCAACCCACTTCCACTATTCCCAAGCCGAAGAGTGCCCTCGACCCTGCCGGAGGCCGCCGTGCCAGGCTCACCACACCCCTTGTAGGGATTCTGGAGCCCTCGCCGCGGACGCACTGCCCTGGCCCCGCAGATCAGATCTTGTCCAGCCCCCTCACTGATCTAGGGAGTCACTCGGGGTCTTAGGGCGACCCTCCCTGTGACCTCCAGCCTCACCAAGCCCCAGAGGGGCTGTTCCAGATGTGCCAGGAAGTGGCGACAGGCGTCTCACAACTGTGGCTCGCCACAGACGTCCACATCCAGCTGGGGTCTGAGCTCACAGGAGTGTGTGCACACCCCGGCGGGGGGGGCGGTCTGGTGGAAAGGGCAGGAAGGGCCCCTTCCTGTACAAGTCCCGTCTTCCCTCTTCATGGAGGCCAGAAGCTGGCTTGACTTGAGCCCCGTCCCGGGTCTCACACACACCCCTGCCAGGGAGCTCACCCCTAAACCTGGTCCTTAGGAGGGTCGGGGTGGGGTGGGGGGATGAGCCTGTCAAGGGAGGGCTGATCCTTGCAGGTCAAGGGGCCACAACTAGGGAGGGAGACCAGAGTCTCCAGGACGGCCCCAGTTTCAGGACTGGGGAAAGGGGGGATCCCGCCAGGTGTAACACATCTCTGGTGGCCCAAAGGGAGCCTGGAACAAGGCAAGGAGTCCAGGGGAGTGAGAGAGAGAGAGGGTCTGTTACTGACCTGACACGTGCTGCCCACTCTAGGCTCCAGCCACTGCCACCCAAGAGCACCATCCATTCCCTAGGGTCAGGGTACCTCTGACCCCCCACCCAGACCCAGCCCCCGATCGGAAAGAGTTCTATCCACCCGCCGGGGTGAGGCTGGGCCTCGCTGGCCTGGGACGCGTGGAAGGGGGCGGGTGTCAGAAGGTCAGGCCTGAGCGCCACCGGTCGGGAGCAGGAGACGTCCCGGGGAGCATCTCGCCCGCACCCCCTGTCCGCGCCCGTCGGCCGGAACCTCACGTGGTGGGGTCCCGGCTTCTGGCCACCGGGAGGCCGGGCTCACCTGCGCGAGGTCATGTCTGCTGGGCTCAGGGTGCTCCGGCCGCACGGAGGCCCCGCCTACCTCGAGGATCCGCCCACCGGAGCCCCGCCCACCGTAGAGGCCCCGCCCCTCCCGAGCTCCCTTAAAAGGAGCCGTGCCCTCAGGTCTCGCAAAGGTGCTGGGAGGTTGCACCAGTTGCCCAGGGCGCCGGGCTTCAGGACGAGGGGCTCACGCCACATCACGGGCTCGGAGGGCGAAGGCGCCAGGCGGCCCTGGTCCGAGAGGCGCGGAAAGTGATTAATTCTGTGTCCTGTTCGTCTGGGTGCTTTCCTTCCAAGAACCTTTCGAGCTCCGCCTCTGTCCTGGGGGAGGAGGGGCTGCACTCCCCGCACCCTGGGGGGAGGGGCTCGGAGCTAGAGAAGCGGGTGGAACAGGTCCCACCGGCCCCGCGTCCCGAGGGAGACCCCAGAGGGGCGGAGGTGGGCGCCCACGTGATAACCAGCTCTTCCCTCTTAGCCGTCCTAGCTTGGGCTGCCGGCTCCCCTTCTCACCACCTCTGCCACCCGCCTAGTCGCCACACTTCCTAAGTGGTGCTGACACCCCCTTGACCTCGGCCTTTGCTCCTACTACAACTGCCCCCACCAGGCCGGCTTGTCCCTGGGGCCCGCTGGCCAATCGCCTGGAGGTTCCAGCCTTCCTTGCCTGGGCTCCTAACCTGGGGATCCCGTTAGGACTGCCCAGCGCCGCGCCCTGGCCGCCCCCCCCCC